TTTTTTAAAAATAAGTAGAATATTGATCCCTGTGCTTTGCCGCTCCACTTGGGCACAATTTCCCAGAGTGAGAGCCAGGCCTTTGCAACTCAGAGTTCTAGGGATATACTGAAAAGCTAATAAATGAACAAATGAATGAAGCACTGTATCAAAGGAGCAGGTTTGAATAAGATAGAAAAGAAATGCCCTCTGATATAACTCAGTTGGTAGAGTGCTGGCCTCACATGCACAAGGCCATAAATTCAATCCCCAGCACCAAAAGAGAGAGAGAGAGAGAGAGAGAGAGAGAGAGAAATGCACTTTGATACAAAGTTTATTCCCCAGGGTGAATAAATAGTTAACGGAGCTGGTAGCAGTGGCTCAAGCCTGTAATCCCAACTGCTGCTCAGGAGGCTGAGACAGGAGGATAATGAGTTCAAAGCAAGGCATTAAGCAATTCTCCGGGACCCTGTTTCTAAATAAAATACAAAATAGGGCTGGGGATGCTTTTCAGTGGTGGAGTGTCCCTGAGCTTAAGCCCTGGTACTCTCCCCCCAAAAAGTTAATGGAATAAAAGAAGTTACATTTCCTCAGAGGAAAAACACATCCGTTTACATTAAAGGATTGGATTTTTCATATTTAATAGAGTAGTATAAATCAGGAAAAACACCTAAAATAATGCTATTTTTCCCGTATTTGCTTTTCTTACTTCCTGTGTTTATTTACTCCTAACTTATCTCATTCACAAAGAATTTTACTACAGGAAAGTGTAAATCCAGGGGCCAGACTTATGCATAGAGATGCATGTCTTAGGTATTGCATGATGGAAAATTATTGCTGGACTCTTATTTTAGTAGACCATTCCTTTGATATCTCTGAATGAAAGATACCTGAAATATAGTTCATTTGCATACCATGCTCCACCTCCAGCGGTCACTTTCATAACTGGCTATTCATACAATTTGTTATTAATTATTGTTACATGACACGGTGTGATAGGACACATGAAAGCAATAATACACACATAGGTGTTTGTATTACTCAGATTAATGCAGCAAGATCTCTGGATGCTGCCTTCTCATATATTAATATTTAGGAGCCTTCCAATTAATTCCCCATTACACTGACCAAGCCTGTACTGGAGGGGGATGTGGAAATGAGAGCTCTCCTCCAGTACTCTTGGTAATGTAAGTTGGGACAAGTACATTGACGATCAACTTAGTGGTTTTTACTAGAGATGAAGAACTTCATATCCCATAAACCGGCAATTTCGATCTTCCACTTAGAGCTCCAAAACACAAGTCCTCATGTGCATGACAACCATGGCTTCCACCATGGAAACTACATCACTGTCCATAAAGGACAATGACACAGCTTGTGTTCATTAGTTTCATAAAATTGAATAACCACAGTGTTTTAATGGAATTGTATACATTGCGATGAATTTTTAAAAAAACATAATTTTAAGTGAATAAAATGTGCTTCAGATGCCATTTAAAATAACATTTATATAAATTAAGGAATAAATTTGTAGGCTGGGGTTGTGGCTCAGCAGTAGAGTGCTCTCCTAGCACCTTCCAGGCCCTGGGTTCAATCCTCAACACCACATAAAAATAAAAAAATAAACAAAATAAAGGTATTATGTAAAACTAAAAAATAAATATAAAAAAAGAGAAACAAATTTCTCTCACTTCATACATATTTGCATATGTACCTGTGTATATGTATAAATAAATATGTATTTATGTTGTGTGCGTAATTTTTAGGAGCACATAAAATCGGAGGCAGAAGAACCATAAACCTAGTGAAGTATTCCTAAAACTGGCTCATCTGGTCCTTGTTCTGTCCCCACCTGTAGGCTTACATCCTGCTCCATTTTCCCAGATGCTACCCAGAGCATATCAGTGTTTTTGTTTTGTTTTGTTTTGTAACATGTAACATTGCTTTTCTATTACTGTACAGATTTCAACAAATTGCAATCGTTCCCCTGCAACTAAAAGAGACTATTTAGATAAACCTCTCTGCTATGAAAATGTAAAGTCAAATATCTAACCATTAAACAATGGGTAAAGTTCTGAACAATGGTGCACTATTGAATGGAAAACCCTCCAGAAACAGTTATGATATGTGCTGGAAAACTGCCATAAGCAGGGGATAATTTTCTAAGAATCATGTTGCAATTTTTTCTCCACTCTGTTGATAAGGACTGAGGCTGGGGGATAGTAGAGGCTTTTCTTTCAGGAGGGGCCAGGACAGGAACACAGAGCTCTCTAGGTAGAGGTGGAGGCCCATCCAGAAGAGTAGCCGGATGGACAGTAAGGAGTTTCCTGGGAAGGGTCAAGGCCTTTGACCTTAAGTTTTCTGAGATTAATTTTCAGGTTTTCTTTTTTAAAACTACAATACCATTCTGTGGATTTTATCAGTTGACATGCCCACCTTGTATTGGCTGTTTCGTGGAAACCAAGTGAGGACCAGAAAAACAGCACTTTGATGGCAAAGTGAAACAGATGCCTTTTGAAAAGTTTTACCATGGCCTAGCATGGTGGCATTAGCCCATAATCCCAGGAGCTTGGGAGGATGAGGCAGGAGAATCACAAGTTCAAAGCCAGCAACTTGGGAGGGCTCTAAGCAATTTAGTGAGACCCTGTCTCAAAAAATAAAACAATAAAAAGGGCTGGGGATGATGCTCAGTAGTTAAGCACCCTGGGTCCAACCCCTAGGACTCCCCACCCGGGGAAAAAAGAAAAAAGAAAAAGAAAAGTCACAGTACAGAGCTGAGTGGATGGTGTGGCCTTCTTGAGAATTAGTGGTGGCCCTGGTTCTTTGCAGGCTGCAGGTGTTAGGCGAGGAGCACCAGTAGCAGGAAAGTAAAGTGGGTGGCAGCACCAATCTGAGCAGGAGCACAGGCAAGGCTGGCTCAGGGTGCTCAGATCAGGGTTGCTAGGCTGCCTGAGAGGACAGTGTCAGGACACATGAAACAGCTGAGAGTTTCAGCAGAGAGGTTTTTAGGTCCTCCTTCAGAAAGACTAAGGAACAGGAAGGACTAGAGAGAAGGCAGTCACAGATAGGTGAAGTCTAGGCCTTTAAAAGGAAATACACCAACTTTCCAAGGAGGCACATTCCTGTAATCCCTGCCACTCAGGAGGCTTGAAGCATGAGGATCACAAGTTAGAGCCAGGCTGGGCAATTTAGAGAGACCTTGTCTCAAAACATAGAAAGAAAGAAAGAAAGAAAAAAGGACTGTGGACATAGCTCAGTGGTGGAGAGCTTGCCTAGCATGCAGGAGACCCTGGTTTCAACCCCCAGGGAAGGAAGAAAGTTGATACTGCCTGGCAAGACAGAGGCAGAATGCACCAGAGAAGTAGTCAATAGCCTTTCCAGGTGAGGTGGCCTGGAAATTCCCCATTGTAGATTAAATATTGAAAGATCCCTTCAATTATTTATATGGGTATATTCAAATAAAGTGATGTTTTACCTTGTATGGGTCACATGTGTTCAACTTACTTGGATTTTAATTTTTATTTTGAAGTTAGTGCTCTGCAGAAAACCAGAATGAAATAGTCAATTATAACCAGAGGTGATAAAGCTCCTTGTGTGAGAGTATAATTAATATCTTTGGATGAAATTTTTGCCAAAGCCCATGCAAATATTAAGAAACTTAAAACACGTATAGTTTCATTTAGAAATGCAAATCATATTATACATCTTTTGCAAAATGACAAATAAGACAGACTTTTCAACCTGAAACATCAAAAAGTAGGAAAAAATTTAAAAACAAAAAAACTTCTCTTTGCCAAAAAAAGATCAAAAACTTTGACAATCTATGTCCTTTGAGGACTATGTTGAGTTTTTTTATTACTACACCTTAAGAAGCCACTTAACTATTTTTAAAAGCAGAAAGTGTTACTGGTAATGCAATAGAGCCTTCAGGTTTGACCTCCTTGAATTGAGCCACCTAGGGCAGATGACTTGGTAGGCAACATCCACAAGGTCACCTGGGCAGTGGCACTTAGAAATGCGAGCTATGTAGCCAAGCAAGGTTAGGGCATCTTTCCCAGTACACAGTGCATTCAATATCTGTATGTTTTGATTGATTTACTTTGTGAAGTTATTGAAGGTTTATATTTCCCAATGTTTCTAATTAAGCAAATTTAATTTTAATATGAAAAATAAAAGTTTACTTGTGTGCATAAAATTCAAAATACATTCTCTTCTTGTTTTCTTTCTTTTGGGGGAGGTAAGGAGTAGGGGACCAATCCTGAGAGAAAAATAAAAATAATGATGTCCAAATAATTTTTTAACTTTATTTTTATTTATTTATTTGTTTGTTTGTTTATTTATTTATTTATTTTTATGTGGTGCTGAGGCTCAAACCCAGTGCCACACATGTGCTAGGCAAGCCCTCTATCACTGAGCCACAATGTTCAAATAATTTTTAACATATCAAGAATTGCATTTATAATTGTGAAAATCGTGAAAATGTCTTTGGATGAAATTATTGCCTGAGAGGACAGTTTCAGGACACATGAAACAGCTGAGAGTTTCAGCAGGAAGGTTTTTAGGTCCTCCTTCAAAAAGACTAAGGGACAGAAAGGACTAGAGAGAAGACAGTCACAGATAGGTGACATCTAGGCCTTGATAAGGTGTTTTACTATCATGTCTGGCACAGGAGACTTTAGGAAATAAAAAACATAATCTTGCTGATGTAAAAGTGAAACGAAATGTGAACATTTCAAAACATACAAAACAACTAAGTGGAAATTAGACTCTTAAGATAAATGTCATATGCCTTCCTGTCTGACTTTTATTAATTTTGAGTATTTTCTTCAGATACCTAGTTGTATGATGGTTTCTGAGTAGTGATCACCTTTGGTGACAGATTCGTCTCCCCCTGTTGTCCAAACAGATAAAATCAAGCAGTCTAGAAACAGCGAGGCTCTCCCTTCCCGTTATTTGTAAGCTGACAGGAGGGAGACAGACACCTTCTGAAGTTTTATGCATGCTGTTTTCTCTCCTTGCTGCAACAAGAAAAGCCTTTCATTTTAACCTGGCTGTTTTTGAAGAAGTGACTCAGACAACTTCATGGCCTCTAAAGGTAAGAGTAAATATAGCCAGCTAATAAATTATCCTTCCAAATGACTAAAAACACAGTTATTGAGGTGTTATACTCAGCAAGACTGATACATTGTGGGCTGCTATTTGTTGCTTTTGAGTTTCTCATTTTAAAATTTTTTTACTTAAAGGAGTACACAGCATTAACACACACACACACACACACACACACACACTTGCACGCACACACTTTATCTCATAGAATGTAAAAATTCAAATGTAAAAAAACATGTTTGCTTTCATGAATTTAAATAGCAAATTTAGAAAAAGAAGAAAGCTTCATACCAAAAATTGAGAATGAGAAAATTGAATGTCAAACTTAAGGAAAAGATGAAGTTCTGAATTTAAAGGGATCTGAAGAAAACTTTTTGCATCTTAGTGAGAAGGCTTTTAAGTACAATTCAATAATTTTTAATTTCCCATTTGTTATGCAGACTATGTGATAAAGTATTTATACGAAGAACACCAGACTATGCAGTATTCAGGGAAGAAAATTAAGAATGTGTAATTGCTAGACTAAATTTGATTAACCACAAATGAATACTTCTTCTGGTTTATGAATTTAAAAATTTTCACAATTTCTTTGATAGTAAATTAATTTAAAAGAATCTAAAATATTTAATTTAAGCAAGGGAATCAATTAGGGACTTTGGAGACAAGGGTCTGGTAAATTTTTTATTATATCCTTAAAACTATAGAAATGCTGTTAGTGTTTTCTTAAGTTCTCAAAATATGTGGGTTTTTCCCCCTCCAGGGAAATAAGTTGCAATTTCCCAGAAAGCACTTGTGTAATTGTATAAAAATGAAACTGTAACATGCCTTTGTTCCATTGTCAGAACAAACATTTAAACTCAAGGCTAAAAGGCTTTAGCATAAAGAATTATGATTTGTATAATTGGTGGAAACTTTTAAACCTATTTAAAATAAGTCCGAAAGTTTATAATATCCTAAATTCAATTAATGAACTATTAAAATATCCATACTTCCTTTCTGAAAGCACAGTTCAGACAGTATTTAACATTAAACAAATAATTTATTCTTTCAATTTTTATTCACTGTTTAATATAGGCCAGTCCCTGAGAAAAAGAGGGAAAACTTACAGGCCAATTTTAAAATACATACAAGAAACAGCAAAATGTGAATTTTAATACATGCATACTTCATTGTCTATATTTAAAGGCAAGCAAAAACCTTGATCAGAATTTTCTTTCATTTAATAATAACACTAACACTTATTCCAAAACTCTTCATCACTTTATGAGAGTTACAGCAACACGGTAGCCTGTAAGGTAAAGAGTTGCAGAATACGTAAAATATTTATAAGCTGGTTATACATTTTTAAAAGAGTAGATAGAAATTCAAAGCCAGATAGAAATTCAAAGGATTTCCTTCTTCATCTGGTGGTCTGGGTCTTTGAAGAAACTTGTGACTAGAAAGCAATGCTATGATCAAAATGTGATTAATCTACCCCCAAAAAGCAGTGATGTTCTGTAATGATAAGGACTTAAGACTAAACTTAGAGGCAAAACTTTGAGTGGAAAAAGAACCCCCCTTCTGCAGTTTACTGGTAAAATTTAACACACGGTGTGGTTATAACACTGTAATAGGCCCAATAGTTCTTCAAAGAATTGAAGTAACAATAAAGCTATATTTTCAGTTAGAAATATTGTTTGACTAGATGATAATATGACTAGATTGTCATCATCATAGATCTAAACCCTTTTTGAGGATTTTTCTTCAAGTTTATGTGAAGACACTACTTGTAACTTCATAATGGTTTCTGGCCCATGAACCTATATTGTTGGTTAGCATCCCCCAGGGAATACAGGTGAGGTGGACATTTCATAAGCAGGTCCATCTGCACTACTAAAGCAGAGGGCAGTCTGAACTGGAGGACATCATGAGGAATCCTGAGGTCTGGAAACCCTGGTTCAGTATAAATAAGTACATTTAAGAACAAGTTGTCCTCAAATTGAGAACAAGTTTGAGAAAAGAACAAGTTTCTCTGGTGAAGAGAAACTACCTCCAGAGGTGATTGCCATGTAAACTGATATCTCAGAGAATGAAGCAAGTGATCTCAGGATGACGATGTCTCTCAACAGTTTGAGACAGAAACACAGCAATATTCCATTCCTGAATAAAGACTTTGGGCACTGAATCCTCTGGGTTTCAAGTGCACCAATGCTTAAGGACCTGCTGTGAGTTTAAAGACCCGAGAACTTGGGAAGGAACGTACAGTCATTTGCCCAACACTTAATAACCTACTGCATTGTGTTACAGCAATTTACAAGATAAAATTGGAGCAATTTGACAATCTTTAAAAAAAACGGGGGGGTGGGGGTGGGGAGTGAGATAGATCCTAATAATCTTATTCCAGATATTGTGTTAGAAATTAATCTTATGTACTTTTTATTTTATTGGGAGGTGTGGTACCAGGGATTAAACTCAGGGACACTCAACCGCTGAGCTACATCCCCAGCCCTAGTTTGATTTTATTTAGAGACAGGGTCTCACTGAGTTGCTTAGCGCCTCACATTGCTGAGGCTGGCTTTGATCCTACGATCCTCCTGTCTCAACCTCCCAAGCCGCTGGGATTACAGGCATGCACCACCGTGCCTGGTCTTATGTACTTTTTAAATTGCAAGATAACATATGACCATTAAAATCCATAAACAGCACCCTGTTGTTTTGTTGTTTCTTAATAAAGGTGCATGCCTGTAACCACCAGCAAGAGAAAGATGTGCAACATTTCTGGCACCCCCTGAAATTTCTGTTTAGAACCATAACCCTGCGTTCCCATGTTCATTCCAAAAATGAACCTCTACTCTGAATTTTATCATGGTGAACTAGTTTTCTCTACATCATGTTTTTGCCTCTGTGTTTTTTGAAAATTAATGATGGCAGTGCTTTTGGCACTAATACTGGAAAAGGATGTCGATTGCCTTTTAGTATTTCCCAGATGCCGTTGCTATATTGGCACTTACCTCACCTCCCAATTCTGAACTAGTGTTACATAGTCTTCCAGTAGGACTCACACTTGGGATCCCATTTCAGGGCCCCTTCCCGAGAGCAAGAGGAGTTCGAAAGCTTGTCTTTTCTGACCGTCCAAGATCTAAGAGAAGTTCAGGATGGGATTTCTGGGAGAAGCAAACTGTTAGAGTATCATCAGCTCTATTTCAATGGGGTCAAATGACACATTTTTCCATTTGGTCATAATAGTTGAGCATCTCCTGTAAAGATTCTAAATGTCAAAGACCTGTACAAACTTAGCCATCCTACGTTAAGAATAATAAGCCCAATTTCGTCCCGCAGCCTTCACATTCAATAAATAAATGGATCATCTGGCAATTGTCCTTCATTAACATTATATGTACACCCAATGCTAATGAGCCTGTCATTGCTAGAATCAAATTATGTCGGTATCCAAAAGGTCATTCCTCGAGTGTCTTTATTTCCTCATCATTTTTTAATACCCATCCAGTTGCTCATTCAGGGTATACTTGAGTTTTCTTAGTGATAGGAAATGTATTATCTTCAAAGGAAATAATGCATTTTTTAAAATTTATTATTATTATAGTTGAGATGCAATAGACAGAGAAAAAAATATGCCTCTTGTATTAGTCAACTTTTCATTGCTGTGAAAAAAATATTCAACTAGATCAACTTAGGGGAGAAAAAGGTTATTTTGGCTTGTGGTTTCAGATTTAGAAAGGGGACCAACTTTGTGGCTCTGGGCCCAAGACGAGGTGCACATCATGGTGGAAGGATATAATGGAGGAAAGCTGCTCAGCTCCTGGCACCATCAGGAAGTGGAAGTGGGGATTTCAGGGGCTACAGGAAAGATGACCCATCTCCTACAGCCACAACCCACCTCCTACAGCCACACCCCACCAGCCTACAGTTACCACCCTGTTAGTCCATTCACACTAGGAAGGATGGATTGGTTTATAGCTGCCATAATCCAATCAGCTTACCTCCAAACATTCCTGCATTCGCATAGGAGCTTTGGGGTGACACATCGCATCCAAACCTTAACACCTCCCATAAACATACTTTCATGAGTTTGGTGTCATTTTTTAATTAACAGCATTGTGATGTATTTTTACTGATATATATGTTACTTCAATATTAATATGTGCACAATGAGATATAACACTTCTTCAAAAATTTTGAGTAGGTATTGTAAATTTCTCTTTTGTATAAATCCAGAACCAGTTTCCTTGTCCCTTCCATTCATGTGTCTTTAGAACAGTCAGAATCACATGCACCTATTGCATAATGAAATTGCAGCCAACTAGATGAACAAATAGGACAGTGGTCCCATGAGATTATTGCCTACTGATGTCTCAGCCACCTTCCTTTGTGAACTATACTTTATGGTGTTCACACAATGAAATTGCCTTATGACACATTTCTCAGAACATCAATCTACTGTTGAGCAATGCTTGACTGTACTTTGTTTACATAATAGCCTCTATCATTTCTGAAAATAAGTCTTTGTTAGTCATGCTCCACACCTACACCCAATCTAAAACAACACAATGCACTAGCTAAATCTACCTGCAAAATTCTGATTCTTTGTGGAAAAAGATGAGAAGTGAAAACACTTTTAGTCTTTGAAAAAAGACTCACTATCCAATGACAGAGACACCCAAATGATAGTTACATGAGAAGAAAAAGAGCAACTACTAGGAGCAAGTCTATCATTTATACTTTAAAATTAAAAAAAAAAAGACTTTTGTATGCATCATGCTCAGGCGTTATACATAATATTATGAAGAATATAATAAATACATTAATAGTATACCCTATAGTAAATACATAAATAACATCCCTCCATATTTGAAGTTCCAAATCTGAAATTCCTTTTTCTCTGACTTAGGGGTCAAGTGTTAGTGGCAAAAGTGGTGTAAATTAAAGTAAGGCCACTAAAACAAGAGCTGCAAGAGATTATCTGAGCTAAGAAGTAACGTATTTTAAGATGGAGTAAATGAGTTGGCCTTAAGATTAAATATGTGTTGAGACTTTCATTCTCTTGCAGATGCACATATCCCAAAAAGCAGAGGGCTGCCTCGTTTTCTTCCTGGAGCTCCAGACACAGAGCAAAACCCTAATCCAGGAAACCAAGAATGGCGGCCAGGTCTCACTCCACCAAGCAGCTTCTTGTCAACAGTCTGCCTCCCCCCTGGTCTAGAATATTTAAGCCAGGTATTTACATCTTTCTGTTTCTATGAATTTTTCCCCTTAAAATTAATACAAACTTGATTTCTTGCTTTTTAACCAAGTTTGAAAGATCTTGACCAATAATTTGCTAATGTGAGAAAGACATTATAAAACATGAAATTATAAAATATTAATTTTAAAGTTATTTTGGAAGACATTTGTTTTATTGTTGCTTCTATTTTCCTTATTTACTTGACAGAGTGATGACACTAAGTATTTTTGATAGAGCTGTTTAGCACATTTATCTACCTTATGTTCATTGCTCAAGGTGTTGGGAAATTTACCCTCAAGGAATTGTCTCATATGCTTAAGTCACTTACCGCCATTTAATTAAAGAATATTTATTGAGTATGTGCAATACTCGAGGCATATAAAAAGCATGAAACCTAGTCCCTCTCACCCAAACATTCTGCATTATTTTACAACAGGCAAAACAAACAAAATGTTTATAAATAGCACAAGCCTGTGTACAAAATCAAGGTGAACACAAACTTGTAAAATATTCAGGGATACCAAGGAGAGAAATGTTATACTTCAAAGAACATGGGGGCTTCTGCAAAGAAGTGAGAATTCAACCTCTTCAACTGAATCTCCAAAAGAAGATGAATATCCGAGGGAAAACAAGTCATCAAATTAACATTATCATCTTCTGATACTGTGCATCTCTAGACCAATGGCTCAAAAGATCATATTACTATTAGGTACAGTCACTGTTCTGGTCATTGGAAAGGAAGTAGTGATTCAAACCTTGTAATAACTCAGTCTGAAAAGAGCATCATCCAAATTACATAGCAAAAAAAAGCAATTGCTCTGTGTATGTATATGTGTATGTATGTGTGTGTGTATGTATAATTGCTTTTGCATTTTATCCTATCAAAGATTAGAATCACACTAATATTGAGATGTCAGCACATCTGCTGCAATCTTCAGCTTGTCTGGCATTCTTTCAACTATAAAGTCTCTCTCTTTTATCAAAATCAAATCTCTGTGTTAATTCCCTTAAGGTACAAAAGATGTCTGTTATGCCCGATAGGGTTTAAGCTGCATGCAGCATATGTTCCTGGGAAAATGTTTATAATTGCAGATGCCTCCTCCAGAAACCCATTGGCAGACAAATGTACTTCAGAGACTGGAGAGCTCAGGGAGATGTGTAAAAGAGCTGGAAAAGCCAACCTACCATCTTCCATCTGCAGAAAGGATCAGCTGTAATAGCTGACTAGAGTTGATTAACTGCTGCAAGCTGTTTGGGAATGTTGTCAGACAAGGTTTTGCCAAGTATAAAAGTGATATACCAGTGCCAGAGGGCTGAGGTTTGATGATCACATATGGTCATCGCATATCCTTCTTCCACCCATGAATGATGACACACCCGGGGCCAGATGCTTGACACAAATACAATTTTTTTTTTTTTTTATAATTCAATGAATAGACATATGAACTCTTTGGCTTCAATCTAAAAGGTAGAACATTTCCTAAAAATAGATTTTTGCTAAACTTTTTTCAGAAAACAAAATATACCACAAAATTATCAAACCGTTTACATGGAAAGGGAATGATAACCTACTTTATACTAAAAGACATGTATCCACTTTAAACCACATACAAAAATAAATAAGCGTTTCAAAGGTGTTCCATCATGGATCTGGAAGACACACGAAAACAAATGAATTTTTAGGTGCTAATTTTGAACTAAAAAATCCATAAGTATTAAACAAGATCATGAACATTTGGTGATATTACATTTTCGATAAATAAATGAAGTCTATAATAAAAATCCTTATATATATTAAAATATTAAATGATTATTAATTTTTATTTTATTATCTATGAATCAAACTTATGACTATTGAGAGTATCATTTTCAAAAACAAAGATAAACATACATATATACTTACATAAGACATCAGTTAAATCTAAGAACAAAATTAATGGATGCTTTGTAGATTGGATTTGCATTCATAATAGTCAATGGCATTTTATTCTGTGGTGTGAAAGAACAATTAATTATCACAATTTACTCACCTATAGGTAAGAGTAGTAAATTAAAGGCACACGTAATTTACAATTTATTTTTGAAATACATATATGAAATGAAATAAATGATACCTGTAAACTTGATTTAAAATATTTTAAAAAGAATTGCATCTGAAGCTGAATATCCACGGCTGTGATTGTGTTTTCATTTCTACAGCTCTCATACTTAAGGAATAATTTACTTGCCCTGACACCTGAATATATAATTCAATCTGTTTAAAGTTTGCAACACTTTCTATTTCACCAACCAATAGAAAAGGACGGAAAGGGCCCATTTGGACCTTGGTTTATAAGTGCCTCAGGGCTATTTAAAGGAAACTACAAGAACAACCTAAGTCAAGATGCTCAAATCCACGAGGCTTGTCCACAGAGAGAAATCAAATCCAATCTTATTACAGAGGATGAGGTAAGTATGAGAGTGAGGAAAACACAGAGGAAGGGCATGCAAGCTTTAGAGTGTCCCTTAAGAATTCTTTCCTCTTGTCCCTTGGTCTAGTGATGGCAGTAAAGTGAAAGTCGAAGGCACGTCCAAACTGGTGGCCCCTTATGTACGCTGTGATCTTGGGACATTTCCTGAATTTTTCTGGAACTGTTTCCTCATGCATTAAATTAGCAATATCTATCTGAGTTTTTGTGAAGATTATATCAGAGATTAGGTTAAAATATGTAGCACAGTCACTAACCCCATTGTAGCCAATTAGTAACAACCACAACATCAGAGAGGTACAATTTCCCTTTTCATTGTGAGGTCGCTCTCAATTGATAGTTTCAGATTTTCAAGACTAAAATTCAACTCATGGCACCAACATTCAGAGTTCCTAAACTCAAGCACCTTAGACCTGACCCCACAGATCTCAATCACTAAGCTACTTCTGCACAAATCCACTGCTAAATAATCACATAGACCCTTTTGACACCTTTTCTTTTCCCACGATTCATCATTTTCCCAGATGTAATGCAACACACTACAAAAGACTTTTCTAAGTTTTTAAGAAATTGTCTGCCACAATTGTTGATACGGTTTTGGAATAAAATTATTTTGAGAAAAATATTTTGGGAATCTTAAAAAATAGTCCACATGTAGTCTTTTATCAATAATCAGATTTAAAAAGAGGAAATGGTATAGATTTTATCCCCAACTCAGGATATACAAATGAGGGGATAATGTAGCTTCAAATTTTCTGGGTATGTGGTATTCAATCGAGAACCAAGTTTTATCAATCATTGGCTTGGTTCAACAATTCCTGGAGTGTTTATTAATGTGATGCAAGAATAAAGCACAGAAAATTTGGAGGTGAAATAGAGAGTGAAACATTAGAAAATAAAATGATCATCAGTATTTTCAGTGTTCATAATTTTGCTTAGTGAATTTCCATCCTTATTTTATTTTATTTTATTTGTGTATGTACTGGGCATTGAACCCAAGGGTGCTTTGCCACCAAGTCACATCATCCCCAGCCCTTTTTTCACTTTTTATTTTGAGACAGGTCTTGCTAAATTGCTTAGGGACTCACTAAGTTGCTGAGGCTGGCCTTGAATTTTCAGTCCTCCTGCCTCAGCCTCACAAACCACTGGGATTACAGTCATGCGCCACTTCGCTCAGCTCTTCTTATTTCTCTTAAAAAATCATTTTGCACTACATACTTTTTAATGTCATTTCTTACCTGTCTTGGATAGCTTATGTGTGAAAATTGATCTCATTGTAATTATGTTACAAATTTATGTCACTATTCAGTAGCAAATCTCTTATTCTGCTTAATAGATATTTTGTTGGGATCTACTGGTTTCTTTCTTTCTTTCTTATTTTTTTTTCTTTTGCAGCCCAAAGGTAAGTGAATGAGAGATGTTCATAGTATAACTTCTTTTAAAATTTAATTCCATCACTAAGAGGAAGGAGCTGTGACTGAGGAATAGGGTTTGAAGGGAGAGGTTAGTCATTCAAATCATCATTGTCACTTTATTTCTTTGAGTTTTAAAACATCTTAGGTCTTATTATTCAGAGATTAATAGAATTTTTTTCAAAGGTTATCTTCTTTTCTTTCTCTTTCTCTCTCTCTCTCTCTTTCTTTTGTTTTTGTTTTGTTTTATTTATTGTGACAGAGAAAGTTAGCAGAATTAACCACTGTTGCTTTTCCTATTCTTGGCAATTGTTTCCTTCAGTTTTAAGGGTTCCTGTAAAATTTTTGTGTGAATATAAAACATTTTATCCTCTTCTTAATTATGAAATGTGAGCTGTTTTCAACCATTCTAATAGAAAACATGACAATCATCTGTTTTGTGTATTATAGTAAGGAGATTAATAGTAATCTCTCTGGATGTTTTCAAAGCATTGTGATGTAATTCTTTTTGTTTCCTTTCTATCATCGTTTCACAGTTAGATCTGATAATTATACACCAGCAGGTGGAGCTTCTCGGAAGTAAGTGTATTATCTTCTACATTTATTAAAATTGTTGAAAATATTTTAGTTCTCAGAAGTTTCTTTACATCTAAATATGTTCAACTGAGCTGGGGATGTATCTCAGAGGTAGAACGCTGGGGTAGCACATGTGAGGCTTGCCTAGACCTGGGTTCGCTCCTCAGCACCACATAAAAAATAAGCAAATAAAATAAAGATATTTTGTCTATCTACAACTATAACAATAATAATAATAATAATAATTTGTACCATAGAGTTAAATGTATAGAGAGAAGAATTATATCAAAATGAGCACTTGGTCTTTTATTTAATAAAAGCACCAAGTAAAAGAATTAGTATGATTTAAATACAAATAGAAAACTCTAAGTCTTTGGTGCTATTACTATCCAAATTCTCACATTACATTTAATGTTAAATAAAAAAAATGTATTTTAGCATTCCCAAAGATGTTAGTCATTTACATTTCTTAACAGGTTCAGAAATGGAAATCAAGGTTGAGACTAAACAACAAAAATCTACCAAAATTATAATACACCACGGTTTTATCGGTTCCTCAGTGATTCACCAAACAGGAAAATTATTTCTCAGGACACAAATATATGAGGATGACTAACTGATTTCAAATTACTTAAGTGTTTTCTGTTCTAAATAGTCTATGTTATTCCTAAAATGTTTCAAAATTGAGATACATTATTAAATGGAACACAGTTGTAGATGTATTACCAGATAGAGATTTAGACACAATCATCACTATTACTATAAGTTGTCCCAAACTTGCATAACAATGATGAAGCTATTATTTGAAAAGTAGATTCTGGATAGCATTGGTTCTTTAGCAGACAAGTGCATGAGTAGTAATAGTTTGGCAATCACAGTTAATTAATTACATAGCTTTGTTCTCAGATTTTACCTTGATAAATAGATAAGACCTCAAATTTTAGAGCATAGAAATAGATTTGTATAAAGAATAATAACCTCTACTTATTTTAAAGGGTTGATACTGACCTAAACATTATTTTATAAAATAAAATAACTTTTTTCTCTATTAGTGATACTTGGCACTGAGACTTCTAACAAGTATGAGATTAAAAATGGCTTGGGACAAAGAATTTACTTTGCAGTGGAAGAAAGCATTTGCTTCAATCGTACTTTCTGTTCCACTCTGCGATCCTGCACCCTGAGAATCACAGATAACTCAGGTCGAGAGGTGATCACAGTAAACAGGCCCTTGAGGTGTAATAGCTGTTGGTGCCCTTGCTACCTGCAAGAGGTTAGTCTCTGGATTTTTCTTTTGTTCAAGGTTAGTCATTGTTTCTTTAAGTGATATGATATTTGTCTGGAGCTATGGAACAATTAACCTTTCCAGTGTTAATTAGTATGTTGCTCTTTAGGATCAGAAGAGCTTGAGGATTTGGGGAGTCACTAAATTTTTCCCTTTCCAACCAAAGACACGTAGCCTCCATCATGTTAAATGGTTAAGACAGCTCATGCACATGAGATGCACCTCTTGGACTTCTATACTAGATATATTGTTGTGACATCTATACACTCCACCCTGGGCAGATGCACCCTTGTCTTCTGCAAGAGTAGTAAAGTTCAGGAGGTGCTAATGATGCTATTAGTCTAGAGGCAATGATTCAGTCATTTAATCATAAAATACAATAGCTTTTTATCATTATTTAATTGACCTATAGCAATAACTTTCACTGACATATTAATTTAACTTGACACCAAATTTTTCCTTACTTTATTGACTTTTATATGTCATTTCTATGAGCTAGTGAACAAGTTTCACTCTGCACTTTTTGTAGTTAAGGAAAATGGGGTTCACAGAATGGAGGCGCTTGTTCATGATCACGCACCAAGGGAATGTTATTTGTCAAGCTTGATCTAAGTGTCCTGATCCAGTCCCCAGATTCTCTGTTGAAGTCCTGTATCCTAAGTATTGTTCTAAGTGTTATCAAAAGCTCTGTCCTTGGACCAATGCCAATCCAATAACAAAGACACAGTTTTGAGAGAAAGGAAAAAAAGTTTTATTACTTTGCTAGCAAAGGAGAATCAACAGGGGACTGCTGTTCCAGAAGTTGTGGTTCTCCCCACTAGGAGGAACAGGAGGTTTTTAAAAAGGTGATTCAAGGGCTCCATTCCATATGTTCTCTGTGTTAATTTGGGAGACAGTCATTTCTGAGATCTTCTGGTGCCATCCCCAAAGTCTGAATTAATTTGTTCCTGTAGTGGTTGTGTGCTCACGGACACATAACTCTTCCTAGGATGGGGAAGAAAGGTAATTCTGTTTCCCCTGAGAGTAGGGAGGGGGAGAGAAAATGGGGAGGAAAGAAAGAAACGTCCGTTTTTAAAATAAGTCATAGTAGTAGAGCAGCAAATACTATATTTCAATCATAAAGTGGAACACTGTTACATAAGTACAAGGGCAATAAATATTCAAACAGAAGACAATTACTTAGGGAAGTTTCTAACAACATCTATTGAAGTTATTTCTCTGACTATTTATGAAAAAGTACCTGGCTAAACCATAAGATGTCTCATACACGGAGCCCAAGAATTTGCTTTTGTGTGTGTGTGTGTGTGTGTGTGTGTGTGTGTGTGGTGCTGGGGATTAAACCCAGAGCCTTATGCATGTGAGGTAAGCATTCTACCAACTGAGCTATATCCCCAGCCCTGAGAATTTGCATCTTTTATGAGGATTTTGAAGGTTAATATGCCCCAAGATGTTGTAGTCTGCATAATAATAATTATGTGTCCATGAAATTTACTGATAATTGATATTTTATAACATAGTAGCATAGTGGAACATAAATTAAGATAAAATGTATCTTGATACCCATTAATATTTATTAACTTGGTCAAAAGTCCAACCAATTATTTAAAAATTGATCTCGGAACAAATATGTCATCCTTAGCAATTCTATTAAATTCACCTCTTTGTATCTAAGAACACTATAGATGTGCACATAAGACCGTGAATTCAGTAAGGAAAGTCTAAAGGATATTGGATGATGGAGAGCTGATTTAGCTTCAAAGCCAAAAAATTATATTTAAATTTGTAAGGAACCCTTACTTATCATCATACAGAGGAATTTGATTTGACTTCCATAGATATGAAAGGGTAATGGAGTCAAATTACACTTTGGAAGGCATGAACCTTACTGTTTGTTTAATAACTGTAACTCTGTAAAAGGAATTTTCTTTTAATCAAGCACAAAGAGGCTGGAAAAACTTGTGAACATTTAATGATTGGTAAAGGAGGCTTCAAATAGACATGTGTTGTGGCAACAACTGAGAGGAAGTCAGTGGTGAGTTACCACAAGGTGAATGGCTATGCTTGACCAGCTGCCTGAGATGAAAGGTATGAAGCCAGTGGGCTAGGTCAGACATTATGTTGCGGGGGAGGGGACACTGGTTGACATCTTTAGAAGCATATATTTAGAAATATTTGTAGAATACAAAAAATGATATCATAACAGCATATACTGTTTAGAGGTAAATTTGTATTAGAATGTAATTACAATATAATAACCTTTAAAAATCTCATTTTATCTTTATCTTTTCTGACAGTTAGAAATCCAAGTCCCTCCGGGTACTGTAGTTGGTTATGTTGCTCAGAAGTGGGACCCCTTTCAACCCAAATTCACAATACAAAATGCAAACAAAGAAGATATTTTGAAAATTGTTGGTCCTTGCGCAACATGTGGCTGTTTTGGAGATGTGGATTTTGAGGTATGATTGACATAATGAATAAAATTTTTTACTTAGGTCTTGATTTTTTGCAATATTATTTATTTTTTAAAATATTCAAATCATGAAATATCCATGAAATAAATTTAGAAAATAACATATTAGTGAAATCTAATAAATCAATATGTTCCACACCAACAATAACTTAAAGTTGCAGATGCTAGTTCAACAATTAAAAAAAATACTATAAATATGCCATCCTGACCATGACATCTGCAAGCATTTTTTAATTTTTTAAATTTTAATAAAAAATTAATAATGATGATCATTATTAAATATATTTTAAAAATATATTTTTTTTTTGCTTTGAAGCTAAAGCTAAAGTACACTTTTCCTAAAAGGGTACTTAGCTATTCTATCTCTTTTCTTAAAATAGTAAGTGCCTTATTGTTTTTGATCTAAGTTTTTGAACACCAAGCTTTCTGTATATAAAGTTACATTTTTTTTTAAATAATCAAGTTTTCTGATTTTGAAAGAGAGTGGTACATCCTAATTTGGGTGAATTAGATTTATACAGAATTACAAGCATACATGGTATAAAGCAAATGTGTACAGTTCAGATCACCTAAATTATGTGTCTTCTTCTTTGTAGACCTGATTGTCACATAACCCAGTTTAGATATCATTTCAGAAATGCATTCCATTAAAATATTTAAAAACTATGATTGTAAGAGTTGCTAAATTTCATTATAAAGTAATCCACTCTCAGTTTTTTATAATTGAATGTTAAAAGAGATAATTATAAATTCAGTTAGTAACAAAATGAAATATCTTTACAGATTCCTCTAGACATATATCTGTAGGCAGAGGAGATAGCTTAATTTCAAGTGTATATTTATTTTTTTATTCATTTTTTCAGTTTTCAGACTTCCAGGAACATTATTCATACATTGCAAAATTTGCAAAGTGAGATGGGCTAGTTCCACCCATTTTGAAAGGATTTGGTGTGGCTTTTTAAATGGTTAATATAACTGAGGAGAAGTAAAACATAAGCTTCAGTATCGATGGTATAGAAATGTCCTAGGTAACATTCATTCTTTTCTGTCTTCTACCACTACATGGAAAGCGAAAGACCATATTAAATAACTTTCAGTGTCAGAATGGGAAACAGGGAAAAGAAATGCATAGTTGATAAAGTTGAATTGTAGACTCTTTCTAGCTGACAAGGTAGTCTTTAGTGTCAGATTATGATTTCCTTTAATATACATTAGCTTAGAGTGTTTTGTAAAGTTAAAATATGACTTAGGGTTGGTTAAAAAGGAATGACAGCAAATATCTGAGTAGAGTGTAAAGTAATTTAATAATATGTAATAATGTTTTAATAATTATAAAATCAACTATAAAAATGTTTAAATTCACAAATTTTCTGGGGAAATTATTTTAATTATTTCTAAAGCTTTCTCAAACATATTTTTGTATATATATATATTCAGGCTTAAAATCTGCACCATGGTTAAAGGAATTACCTTCCTGTTTAGGCCATATAATTGAACTGCTGCCATCTTGTGGTTTCCTGGACTTAATTATTTATTGCTATTATATTCTCCATCTGCATACAAAAAGGGAAAAAAAATGATGTTGGATTAGAAAACTATCAGAGAAGCATGATTTCTGAAGAATAAATTAGAAAATTACATTTACAGTCTTGTGCTTATATAAAAGGAATGAATAACATGAAATGATCTTTGGAGATGATGAATAAATTAATTCATATCTCTCATGAAGTAAGCATCCTGGAAAATGTGCAATCATCTCTTTTTGCCTTCAAATTTGATAGCTCTTGTCTTTTCAAAGGTGAAAACCATGAATGAAAAGCTTACCATTGGGAAGATTTCAAAGTACTGGTCAGGATTTGTAAATGATGTCTTCACAAATGCGGACAACTTTGGCATCCACGTTCCTGGAGACCTAGATGTGACAGTCAAAGCAGCCATGATCGGTGCTTGTTTTCTCTTTGTAAGTGTGGTCTTGGGGGTTTGAGTGATTTTTCTTCTCCTCACCTGTTCATTACCACAGAGCTAATCCCAGTTTACACAGTTTTGACCTACAGGATGTGTTTTGTACACGGAAGTGTAGTTTAGGACTAATGTTCTTCATAAATCTAAATTTAATAGCCTTCATTTCTACCGGGTGGCCCCACTCCAGCTGCCTAATGGCCCTCAGGGATTTATGCCCTATGACATGGTTCTCGTCTTTTTCTCATAAACTGAGTTTCCTTCCCTTTCAATGTCAATTTTGATTTTTTTTTACTTATTTTCACTTTAACTGACAATATATAAATATAGATGTCACATGATTTATCCTGAGTAAGAATCAGAGCAATTCCATTGCTTAGCTCTTAGCTAGGTGCTGTTCAGAATGAGAAAAGTGCAGTTTTTTAAAATTCTTTATATTTGCTGAATATAGACACATGAGATCCAGAGCTTCCAATTGCCATCATAACAAAGATATGCCCTTATTCTTACTTTCCAACTTACAACATTCTTGAAACCATTTTTGGATGTGTGGAGACTGGTGACCCAATAAGTCAAGTAGCACTTGGGCTAAAATGCTTGGTTATCTTATGATCCTAACCCCCCTTGAACATCTCCCTCTACCACTTCACTACCACTTACCATGCTCACAAAAACTCACAAAATTTTTCAACAAACCAACATTCTTCTCCATATTTTCCTGTTCCTCAGTTTTAGGATCCTAAATCTTATGGGTTCTGTTAATGTACACAGCTGACAGTCCTATGCACTGAGTCTTTCCAGAACACTTGGAAAATACATGAACTAAGAAGAATACTGTAGTGACATCACTGCTAGACACTCAGAGCTTATCACAGAAATAGATGGATAGAGATGGGGACAGAGAGGGACAGAGCATCTAATGGAGATACATATTCACTGGGAATAACTAATAGCTGACATTCACTACTTTTTTGTAAGATTATAATATTATAAAACATTCACACTTTTTTTGGCCAATGTAGGTTTCAAAACAATTTCTTATGCGATTTTCCAAGATAAATTATTTGCTCAGATTCATAATTCATAATTTCAAAATAAATTCATAATTATTTGCTCAGATTATGAATTCGTAAATTCATAATCTCCTACACTGACCTAAAATATCTACAATTGAAGTCTGCTGTCTTGATCAAATTTCGACTGAGACACAGTGCTGATTTAAATGAGGTTTCCAAGTTATTCATATTCTCAAAATTCAACATGTAAGTGTCATGAAGCTTAAAACTTTTCAATTTTCCTCCTACTGATAAATCACATGTTGCTGGAACACCACTGGGAAATATAATTGCTTTATATAATCAAAGCTTACAAGTCAGACTCTTGATCCTAATTGTTGCCTTTTGTAAATTCACTCATACCCAGTTTATTTATTTGTAGGATTTTATGTTCTTTGAACATTCACTAGCTGGATTATAACAAGCAAGATGATGAAAACAATAAAATATGCAGAATATATTTCAGTGAGTAAAAGGCAATTTGAATGATCTCTTTCCCTTTGAAGATGTCTATATTTGACGCTATCTAATTCTTTTTCATTTTATTCTAGATATCCCTTGGGCCCTGGATTTCATTTCTGAATGGTTTGAGTATTTTTCTCTCTTTTTTTGTAACAAAATGTTAATTATTATATTTATTAAAACATAATTTAATGAGGCAATTATCCAGCTGTGAATGCATGACAGCTAAATACACAATTACTGGCCTGAGCACAAGGTTGCTTTGAGAGATTACCATTCTTTCTTTTTATCCTTTTGAAGTTATTGCAATGGTAAGCATGAAAGATGAGAACTAAGGCTTTCAGAATCACTGATGAAAATTCAATGTTTAGAGAATACTTTGAAGTTTTTTCTGGTACTAAGGGTAGTTACTAATCAAAAGGACTGAATGTCTAAAATATTTTTTTTCAAAAGTAGTCCCTTTTGACTTTGTTTGCTAATGTTCTTATTGTAGTGAGCTATTTTTACTCTATATTGGAAAAGTTACAGGTTGGAATAAATAATATGCTTACAGATGAGGAGGAAAAAGATGGTATCAATCAATTCTAGGGGCAAGAGACACAGTTATATTGCAGAAGGAAGCTCATATTTACAAACCAAAGCCTATGTAAATATCTACTCATGCCAGAGTTTTAAATAATCCTAAAAATAGATTTCTAAATTAGCAGAGGCAGTATTTTCTAACAGGAATTTTATCTACTTGCAAGGAAATTTCAGCCAATTGTGGGGTCTGAATCTTTGAAAATGAAAAATGAACAACTCTAGCCTTTTAAAAAAAGCAAACAAATAAAAGCCAAACCTATGAGGCAAATGTAGAAATTAGAGATCAAAGTATATTCCATTTATCAATACCTTCCACTTCTTAATTCTGTGGAATTTTCCCAGTTATTTACCTGCACTGTCCACAATTTCCAAAGCCCACCCAAGAGGAAAATTCTTTTTTATGAATGACAACAATTCTTCTCCCCTTTTTGAAATGAGGGAACAGATTTTTTTTTAAGCAAGGCTCTACATTAGAATTACACAACTACCCAAATTTCCATGCACGTGTGAAAATGTTTGGAGAACTGTTGTTCCCCAGTTAGAACAGGGAACAAATTCCAAGCATCTCTTACTAAGAGTATTGTTTGAAATTAGGAAGCAGTCATCTCCTAGAAATATATGTGGCAGGTTTATTTTTTTTTTCCTAAATGGTCCATAACTATCCATTTTGTTCCATGTTCTGAGTTAAGGTCCTTATGTTGTATAAAATGGAAAGGAACCGAGAGCCTCTTCCTTGTTTTCTGGTTTAATTTCCTATAGCATTCTTTTTTGGGAGGTCGGTGGGGGGTGTACCACAGATTGAACTCAGGGCCACTGGACCACTGAGCCACATCCCCAGCCCTCTTTATATTTTATTTAGAAACAGGATTTTGCTTTGCTTAGAGTCTTGTGATGCTCTCAGTCTGGCTTTGAATTCAGGATCCTCCCACCTTAGCCTTGCAAGTCAGTGGAATCACAGGAATGCACCACGGACCTGGCTCCCAGAGCATCCTTTGTTCTCTCTTTACATCTTCACTCCTTTCATGAACACCCGCTCTTGGCATGCAGAAACCATAAATTACCTCTCCATCAACCACAAAAGATCTTTACCTGGAGCATAATAGTATGGATACTAATCAAAAAAGTAACCAGGTTTCAGAAACACACAGCGTTTCTCCCAGTCATATCATCCCTGATTTCAGTGTGACTGGAATCAGTGTCATCTGCATGTGGGAGCAACACAGATATGGAAGGGAACCCAAGTTCCATTTGCAATGGCGATCACCTTCAGTCCGGCGCTGCTATTTACTGGCTGGGCAGCCTTCAACCTGTAGTCCTCTGGAATCTTCTCTGGTTCTCATGTTACCTTGCAGAGTTGTGGAAAGGGCAGCTCAGTCTATTTCAAAGAAAGTGTGTCATTTATGATCCTTTATAACAAGCTAAGGGAAATAGCATTTTAAATCTGATGCATATTTACTAATAAAATGGAGAACAATCGTTGCTATGGTTTGAATGTTGGCTCCCTCCAAACCCATGTTAAATTTAATTGCTGTTGTAACCATAACAAGAGGTCGTGAGGGTTCTAGTTTCATGAGTGGATTTAATGCTTAATAAAAAGACTTTCAAGTGCAAGATAATTTCCTCCAGCCCCTTCCTGTCTTTCTGCAATGTGAGAAGCAGCAATCCTCCCCTCCAGGGAGCACCATCTTGGAAGCTGAGACCAGACCCTTTCCAGGCACCTCCTTGGGACTTGATGGTGAACTTTCCAGGCTCAGAAATTGAGAGAAATAAACTCCTGGTCTTTATAAATGACCCAGCCTCAAGTATTCTGCTATAGCAGCAAAAATGGACTGAGAGCATTTCTAACCTTTCCAAGGACTTAGTACCATGCTCTGAGTTTCTGGTGGGATGTAAAATTGAAATGCAATGAAGGAAACTGGACAATGTCAAACTTGTGTCCACCTCTGTGCCCTGCACCCCTGCTCTGTGTTGCACATTTTCTTCTTAAAGATGATTCTGCTGTCCTATCTTCTCCTTGTCCTTAATTTTTTTATTTTTGTGATTGGTGTCATAACCTTCAAGGCTAAGACTTTCTCTATGGAAAGAATGGGGAAAGGAAAACACTATTTGTAAATGTTTAAAAAATATATATTTAAATAAACCTTAAAGGAACTATTAGAAAGAACTATTCAACACACACACATCTAATGGAGTCTCACTAAAGATAAAACTCCTTCTTAGAGTATAGGACTCATTTTCAAGCTGACTCAATTTGATGAAATCCTCCTGAAGTACATTGTTCCCAGGTTGGCACATTACAAAAAACTAAGTCCTGTGGGGCCTCTCCTTCCTCATTAAAGGCTAAAATGTGTCAGGAGCTGCCCTGGATGCAGAAGCCTTTAAGTCCTGATGCACAGGGTTCTGAACAATTATTGCACCCCGCAATAACTTAGGCTTTACCTCTGCTTGGATAATGAGGTGTGGCTCCAGGAGTAGGCGTCACCCGGTGGGATTGAGTTACACTCACCTGTTCCTTTGTAATCCTACCCCTTTGCCCTTTTGGGGATAGAATATTCCATGGAACAGCCTCCCCTAATAAGACCCCAGTTTTGAGGCCTGCTCGCTCTCTTTCCTGCCTGCCTTGCCTCCTTTGTGGGAGCTAGGTCAGAGGAGCCATCACAGAACCCAAAGAAAAAGGTATTTCTCTGTCTCTGTGTGATTATTTCATGCCAGCCCAGTTCACCTGAAGTGACCCTGACTGGTTGAGTCAGGTGTTGCGACAAAATATATCTTTCTATCTCTTCAGTGTTCTGTTTCTTCTCTTTTCTACTAAACAAGACCCTAGCAAGACCCTTTGAGGTTCAGTGAAATACTGCTGTAGAATGAGGTGGATCCTCTGTGAATCCCTTTCTGGTTTCTTATATTGGCCCCTTGTTGCTCCTGGATTTAATAAATATTTGTTGAGTATTTCCTACACCCCAAAAATATAGTCTTTGCTGGGGCTGGGATTGTGGCTCAGTTGTAGAGCACTTGCCTAGCATGTGTGAGGCACTGGGTTCAATCCTCAGCACCACATAAAAAAAAAAATAATTAAATAAACAAAGGTATTGTATCCATCTATGATTAAAAAATAAATAAAAATATAGTCTTTGCTCTTATGGCATGGATAGTTAAGTACAGGAGATAGCTGTTAAAGAAAATGTGGTTTATATACACAATGGAATGTTACTCAGCCATAAAGAAGAAGGAAATTATGGCACTTGCTGGTAAATGGATGGAAATGGAAACTATCATGCTAAGTGAAATAAGCCAGTCCCCAAAAAACCAAAGGGCAAATCTTCCCTCTGAGATGCTAACACACAATAAGGGGTGGAGGTAATAGAAGTTCATTGGATTAGACAAAAGGGAATAAACGGAAGGGAGAGGAATGAGAATAGAAAAGAGTAGAATGAGTCAGACATCACTTTCCTATGTTTTCATATGAACCAGTGTAGTTCCACATCATGTACAACCACAAGAATGGGACCTTATACACTTGTACATTGCTGGTGGGACTGCAAATTGGTGCAGCCAATTTGGAAAGCAGTATGGAGATTTCTTGGAAAGCTGGGAATGGAGCCACCATTTGACCCAGCTATTCCCCTTCTCGGTCTATTCCCTAAAGACCTAAAAAGAGCATGCTACAGGGACACTGCTACATCGATGTTCATAGCAGCACAATTCACAATAGCAAGACTGTGGAACCAACCTAGATGCCCTTCAATAGACGAATGGATAAAAAAAATGTGGCATTTATACACAATGGAGTATTACTCTGCATTAAAAAATGACAAAATCATAGAATTTACAGGGAAATGGATGGCATTAGAGCAGATTATGCTAAGTGAAGCTAGCCAATCCCTAAAAAACAAATGCCAAATGTCTTCTTTGATATAAGGAGAGTAACTAAGAACAGAGTAGGGTCGAAGAGCATGAGAAGAAGATTAACATTAAACAGGGATGAGAGGTGGGAGGGAAAGGGAGAGAGAAGGGAAATTGCATGGAAATGGAAGGAGACCCTCAGAGTTATACAAAAGTACATACAAGAGGAAGTGAGGGGAAAGGGAAAAATAATACAAGGGGGACAAATGAATGTCAGTAGAGGGGGCAGAGAGAGAAGAGTGGAGGGGAGGGGAGGGGAGGGGGGATAGTAGAGGATAGGAAAGGCAGCAGAACACAACAGACACTAGTATGGCAATATGTAAATCAATGGATGTGTAACTGATGTGATTCTGTAATCTGTATACGGGGTAAAAATGGGAGCTCATAACCCACTTGAATCAAAGTGTGAAATATGATATATCAAAAACTATGTAATGTTTTGAACAGCCAACAATAAAAAATTAAAAAAAAAAAAAAGAATGGGACCTTAATTAGAATAAGTAATACTCCATGTATGTATAATATGTCAAGATACACTACTGTCATGTATATCTTTAAAAAAAATTTTAAAAGTAAAGATTAAAACAATTTTAAAAGTTAGGTTGGTGAGATGGCAGGAGAAGATGCTGATGTTCCAACGTAGGTTGTTATAGTAGGTTAGGTGACAGGTAGGGTAGCTTGGGTGGGGCAATCACAGAAAGAGGAAATGAACAGACTCAAAGACTATTGTAGGAGGTTAAATCATTACTTCAAGCTGGATTGAAAATGGAACTGGGGGCTGGGGATATAGTTCAGTTGGTAGAGTGATTGCCTCTCATGCACAAGGCCCTGGGTTCAATCCCCAGCCTCACAAAAAAGAAAAATAAATAAATAAAGACACAGAACAGGAAGCATTCAATATCCATTTAGGACAAGAGGATTACAACCCTTAGAGAGCAGAGTAGCAACACAAGATGCTACTTCCTGACAGAGAGAGTCTTACAGAGAG